AACGTGGGGGGAAAAAAGTTCTTGCAAAGCCACTTTTAATAATATTTGGACAAGAACTGAAGATACATCCCATGTTTCATCACTTAAACAAACAAACATAATAGACGCCATATGTCTTGGTTAAGATAAAGAAGATGATATAACTGATGACAACAGGGTCAAGGGTCATGATGGTGACAGCAAATTGTTTTATGTTTTGTGTACTGACTCATTATAAAGGGTTTAAGGTTCAGCGTGATGCAAGGTACACAAGTTAATACACCCACTATATTTTTTTAACAAAGCGTTAATGATAGAAAAGCAGTGACAGTGGAAGATTGTTTAATTTTCCTACCATTGTCATAAAATGCACATAAGTGGGCTTCTTTGTTTTAATGATCGGTCAGGTAATGTATATCTACTTGCCAGCTGCCCTGGACTCTGACCTTTGAACATTGTTTCCAGTGGAATCACATGTTGAAAGAAGTGAGTGGGGCCCTCAACTTTTTATTTTTTTCTGGTATCTGTCAGCCAGCATGTAAAAATAAATCTATTTTAATGTCAGTGGCGGAAAAGTAACATGAGAAACACTGCTAATGTGTTACTTACCACAAACAGTGGTATCGGCTGACTGACCACAACAAACACCGGAGTGTTTACTGGGGTTAGACTGATCAAAAACTGGATGTGTGCCAGCAGGCTGTGGGTTTAACCTCTGATATGATGAACATGACGCAGTTTGCCTGATTCCAAATGTCTTGCATAACTTATCAGATCTCTTAGCTTCATATTTGAGATATTTATATTCTCTACTTTGGGTAAATGTAAAAAATTGGCTCTTTTAAATTGGTCACTGTATTTAGCTTTGACCAGCAGACTGTAGCTGTGTGTGCAAAATGTTTTTTTGTTTTGTTTTAACTTTCAAACAACGCTGTGGACCTAAAACCTGTGTGACCACTCGGGTGTTTGCTGATGCTGTCAAATCAAAATATTTCAACAAATACCCTGCCAAGTAAAATATTATCATAACCAAATTACACACCATTGTGCATTAGAAATGATAATTTGCCTTCCAACCCATTACTGCCACAAAAGATTCCCATCATACACTTCGCCTCGTCGTCTGTGAGCTGTGTTGAGATCTGGGAGCTACTCTTGCTCTAACAAACATGTTACAGCTTGTTAGGGTTCAGCAAACCCATGGGATCAGGGTTATAAAAGAACTATTTTAATGTTGACCCCTTGCAAAAGATGGGACACAGACCCTTCAACGGCAATGTCAGCATGCTGCTACTGAAGTCCACAGACACACGCTTTTACTTTTTACAACTCTAAATGTCACACTGCATACTGCTTCGGCTCTGGCATCACGTTTACTCAAACGCAATTTCATGGTGAGTGTGATGAGGAGTCTTCCACAACTCTGAGATTTTGTCCTAAAATATGGGAAACAATTAAGTTTATATTCACTGTTTATCACCATTGTTGCATTAATAGATTGCAATTGCAACAGATTACTCATCAACAATTCTGATAATTCATTAATCACTGAAGTCATTTTTGAAGCCAAAGTACCACAGATTTACTGGTTCCAGCTTCTGAAATATAGGCTACGATAGCAAATTCAATATTTGGGCATTTTGGACTGTTGGTCCAAGATAAAAAAAAAGAAAAAGACATCATCTTAAGCTCTGGAAAGTTGTGATGGGTCCTAGTTCTGGTCAACTGCTGTTTATTATTTATTATTATTAAAATTATGGCGCAAAAATTTGGATAGTAAATTCATCAACATTTTATTCATCGTCAAATCTTTTTTTAAGCAAAAACGGACAAATTTTTCTAGTTGCACCATCTCAAATATGCGGATTTGATGGTTTTCTTGGTCCTCTCTGATAGCAACAAGACATTTCACAATCAGATATACTTTATTGATTCCCGGGGGAAACCACTGCTTTCTCACATTTTATCAACCAAACAATTAACCTGCTCTGCTCTCTGCCACAGTATAAGGCACTCTGGTGTCACTGATGACACATTCCATGGAGGAAAAACACTCTGCACATAGTTTTATAACTATAACTATATAACTATATGAGTAGTTATTATCACCGACATAAAATATCTTTGTTGAGACAGATTTGGGTTGACAGGCATTGCATTTTGACAGTAAGTGAACAATCACATAAAGACATTCCAGTGATTTAATCCCCTCATATCAACACAAGTTATATTAATAAAACCGTTTGGAACCACTGCATCTCAAATAAACATAGTGTGCGTTTGCCAGGCAGCTGCCATGAATCATACAACTTATCAGAGCAATTATGACTTCCAGGCAGGATCAGCGACAATGTGCTACCGTGTAATACAAAGACAAACACACTGACAGAGGAAAACACACAACACACCAATGAGGAGACAAAACCTAGTGAACTCTCACACACTTACACACGCACACACAGATTCATACACACAGAGACGCTTTTCATCTGCAGCCTGACAGAGACACACTTGCAGGTCTCCTTCCCTAAAATGGCCGATAGCTCTCTGGTGGAAGCACCAAGGCGTTGACGAGCCACAGGAAATCCTCCAGGACTCATCTCACTTTCTGTCTCTTAATGTCATTTTCTCTTTTTGCCCGTTTCTCTCTCGCTTTCATCCCTGATGACAGAGAGTCCACAGTGTCTCTGTCCTCTGTCTTAATACCTGCTCTGTTCATGTTTAGGCCTGATCTGATAGCGGCTGTTAGACGAGAGGTGGAGAGAAGAGAGTCACAAGGGTGAACAGACAAGAAGGCGTCAGGCAAACCCAACTCTGCTGAGTGAAATCAATTTTATTCTTATAGTGGTGTGAAAGTAAAAATAAAGATTATTTTTTCACTAATTTTACACAGTTAAATGTCCCATTTGTTGCGTTCACAGTGGATTTTTCCTTGGCTTGAATCTTTGCGTGGTTTGATCAGTAGAGAGAGCCGATTTAATTAAGTGTTTTCCACAGGTAAGATGTTAAATCTCTCTCTCTCTCTCTCTCTCTCTGTCTCTCTCTCTGACAGGTGTGATTAAGTAGCTGTTATGGTGACAGAAACTGGGACAAGCTAGAACCAGTTAAAGTATTATTACGCAAGATTAGGCCAATGACCTCATCACCCCTTGTGAACAATTAATCACAAAGCAGGGTGGTACTTGCAGGAAGACACACTGACGAACCAATAAAGAAGTTATTTAAAAGGGGGAAACACGTACCTCAAATACCTACTTATTACATGAGAGGCTGAATGATTAAGTAGCTTAGATATTTCACATATTCATTTTCCCAGGAGTCTTATTGCACAACAACCCCCATGCAAATCAAAGTGTGACAAGCTGATGTCAGGACTGCTTCGGCTGACTAAGCAGACCAAAATTTCAAGGCTGCATGAATGTTGCCAATTATATAACCAAATATGTAGCAGTGCTTTTCGACATCTAGCAGAACTGCAGGCTGCGATTCAGCAGCTGTAATCGCCTCGACAGGAAAGCAGACTTACAGCTACTAAAAGATACCTGCAGTTCTAGAAGTTTCCTGAGCCAGACTTCTGAGATCTACCTCTACCAAGACTGCACTCTGATCTCCACTAGGTGTGTCTGGGGGCATGTGGGTGGGGAACAGGTAGTGCAGGGCGGGCTGTGAGTCAAGCGTGTATGCATGAGAGTGGTGGAATTAAGGGGAGACAATATGGTTACCTTGTCAAGGTGTAACCAGAGTGGACAGGCTAGATGGAAACAAACCCCGGATAATTCCAAAAAGTCAATTTCAAAGTGAAACACTAACGTGGCCACCATGGACGTTGTCCCCTACCGGCCTATGGAGTGAGGAATCAGGATTCAATGGAGATGCACAGCAGTCAATAAAAGATATTTTTCAAACACTATGAATCCCCACAACCACAAGAGGTCCTTGAGCATGCAGTCAGAAATGTGCACAAAAAACACAAGGCCGATGAGTTCAGTAGTATGCGAGATTAGCTGAGGACAGATGCACACACGGACACAGACACACACATCCAAAGTTTTCCTAAAATTAAGGAAAGCAATCACACTATATCGCCTTTTTTACAGTATCGAAATATAATTAATCATAACCCCTGTATTGTGATACATATCATATTGCCAGATTCTTGCCAACACACAGCCCTAAAGTTTATTGGAAAAATATATAACTAGTCAATATAATCACAGTTAGCTATTAGTAGAAAGATGCTGAGAATCCCCTCTAGTAAAAGTAAAAGTAAAATGTCTTCTGTGGATGTGTGAAAGTTTGCAGGAAACTGAAGCTTCATGTTGAGAAGCTTCCATTTCAAAAATGTTGTTCTCTGTCCCTGAGAGAATATTCACAAATGTACACACCTACAATCAGCAAAGGCTAATGCGGTTTTGTTACAAGACAACTTAATATGAAAGGAGAAACCTCAGGAGGGGCTTTTTTGTAAGGAAATGCTTATTTATTCTTAAATGCTTCTAACATCATCCACCTTTGGTTAGATTTTTTCAGGTCTAAAAAACTAAGAAACTAGTTTAAAGCCTTTTAAAAGGCGGCATGGAATTTCAGAAATATCACAAATCGGAATTAAATCTGGTGTATGGCAGTGACAGCCTGAATTCAATCTGGTTAAACTCAGTGACAACGTGTAACAAACCAGACGTCCTGTCAATTACAGACTACAAATCCAACGACCCACTAACCTTACATGAGTCTAATTACACCCAAACGTGTCATTATTGCATTAAACGCACACTAACGTTGTCACAAAGCTCCCTTATGAAGCCATCAGCTGTGACCGTGACTCCTAACAAGCACCATCATATTCAGGCCAAGTCACATGCAGCGCTGCAGCAACAGGTCTCCCTCTGTGACACAGTAGCCAACTGTCAGCCACTTTCCCCACTACATAAACACTCATCTATTTCATAAACCCACAAGCAACGGCACACTCTAAACCAGAGAAAGGCAGAGAAGGAGAGGAAGAAATCAAAACGTCTTACCTCTTTTTCTCCTTATCGGCCGTCATGTTTTTCTCTTATGCACGATAACAGTGTTGTAATTTCCCGACAGCCTACAACTTAAGTCCAACTTTACAGTCAAAAGGAGTTTTTTTTTTTTTTTTGGACAGATGAAACCTGTTGGTTAGTCCATAACACCCGGCTGGCTGTGAGCGTCCAGGCTTGTAGGGGGATCGGGGGCCGTACAGTCTCAGAACACTGCCGAGGATTGTACAGCCTCTCACCCGCAGGAAGGGTCCGCACAGGCTGGGGCTGCTGCTGACGGGAGCCGCACGCAAAGGTCTGCTTGTCAAAACTTTTCCGCGCTTGCTGGTCTGAAAACTCTCGAAACTGCTGCGGCCCAGTCTCTGACCTGAAGCTCAGCTGGCACCGTGAGAGCCGCTGTCCCGATCACGCACGGTGATTGGCTGGAAAAGCCGTCGGGGGCCGCCCCCGCCCCC